GTTGGTTGGTCAATGATGGTGGCAGCATTGGAATATTGAAAAGTTTGCACCAAGTATGTCTCACTGTGCTCACACAAGAACAGAAAGAATGCTGTATGCAGGTTTTTCAGGTTTTATTGAACCAATACAAGGCCGAGAGTGAAGTTCCTTTGATCACATCATTATTGGTAATGACATGTGGTGTCAGTGCTATGAGCCAGAGTCAAAATAGCAATCCATGGAGAGGTGACATGTCTATTCCCTATCAAAGAAAAGGCTCAAGATGCAGCCCTCAGCAATTAAAGTGATGTACATTGTCTTTGGAACACGAAAGGGGTGATCATTCTGGAATTCCTACAACCTAGACAAAATATTAACTCTGATTAATGTTAGTCATGATGTTGACTAAGCTGAAGGCTCAAATTTATACAGTCAGACCAGAGAAGAAGATGACCTTTGTCCTGCAACAGGATAACAATGTCAGCCCTATATCGCTTTGAAGACCGTGGAACACAGTCAGAGTCTTAGCTGGACTATCCCACCACACCCAATGTATAGTTCAGATTTGGCATCTTCTGACTTCCATCTGTTCAGGATGATGAAAGAAGGAGTGTGTGGACAACGTTTTCCTAGAAATAGCACTATTTAGCAGCTGTAATACACTGGGTCACCTCTATTGGTGCAGATATTTTGAGTGTGGCATGCAGGCTCTTGTTCATTGCTGGTAAAGTGCATAGCTAATGGTGATACCTATACTGAAAAACAGCATTTTATATCTGAGAATTTGCTCTATCAAACAATGTTATTTTGCTTGTTGTATCTATTGTAGTTTCCATGGAAACAAATATAAGACATTACTTTCAGAGTGACCTATGCATATATGCACACTTGTTTTGTTATATATCGGCTTTGGAAAGTTTCTGATCAGCTTTAAAGTCAGGAATTGGTTGGCTTATTCTAAGTATCATTCATTTATGAGGGAATAAGACATAAGAAGAGAGGCAGCTACAATGGAATTTACACAGACAAGTTCTGTACCATAGGGGAAAAAAAAGAAAAGGATATAGCCATAAGACTCATAGAATCACTGAAGTTGGAAAAGACCTCTAAGAACATCAAGTCCAACCCTCCATTATCCTCCAATATCACCCACTAAATCACGTCACTAAGTACCACATCTGCCCTTTCAGTAAACACCTCCAGGGATGCTGACTCTACCACCTTCCTGCCAACTTCTCCAGAAGAATACTGTGGGAGACAGTGTCACAGTCTGCTAAAATCTAGGCAGACTACATCAATAGCCTTTCCCTCATCCATCAGATGGGTCACTCAATCATAGATGGCAGAATGAAGCAGGAAAACTATGGTAATAAGATACGTCTCTTAGACCTTTTACCCTCAGAGTTTTCCAGTTCTTTACTTATCTCTCATCTTTTAAGGTAAGAAAGTAATGCCATCCATCTTTATGTTGGGCTGACTCACCAGCTACTACTAGTTCCTTACACTTTTGGGTGATTCTAGGTCTCCATCTTAATCAGCTACAAATCTTTATAAAGTTTACTGAAACTTCCTATCCTCATTCTTTAGTAAACTTGACTAAGTTTAGCCAATGGATTCAAGAGGCGCTGGAAAGTGGGAAGGAGACATTGACTTGTAGAGAGGTAATGTGATTGCATATCTTTTTTTCCCCCCTGCTGAAAACTGGGCTAAACATGACCAAGGTACATAAAGATTGTGAAGCAGTAAGTCCTGAATGAAGCTCAGCGGTAATAGAAAAGTCAGTTATCCACTGACCGAATCTTCTTGAGAAGTTAGCAAACTGTTCTGCTTTCTATCTGCCTACAAATGCAAGATAAATTTCTGCTGTCTTTCAAGAATAGGCAAGAAAATGGCACTTTCTTTTTTTTTTTTCCTTCCAACTGTATCAGTTTATCTGGACTGTGAAAGATTTAACTCTAGGAGGATACTGCCAGCAGAGAGAGAAAAGACTGCTTGCTTCCTGGTAGGATAATGAGAGTGCAGCAGCGGAGGTGTGCATTTCAAGATCATAGCAAGCTGTGCTTTATTCAGAATGGTACCATAGCATTTGATTTGTGCTGTAACCACATGGAAACCATGGCATGGGAAGAATATTGTAGGAGGGAGATTGGAAAGTGTAGGAAGAAAAAAACCTCAGTGAAAAACAGGAAAATAAATTTGTATTACGTAAAGGGGATATGACCTGATTGTTCTGTTCAGAAGTTATTCCTTATATAAAAAGAAACATTGGTAGTAATGAAAATCCTTTCTAAGAAGAGTAGGCACACGAGCAACGGTAGGTAGGTAGGTGGGAGGAACAGCGTGGGTTGTGAGAGCAATATTAGTCTCAGAGAGAAGTCCCACAAGATGAAAAATCCTTTCAAAAACAACAGTGAAAGGAAAAGAGGACACGTTCTTCAGTCATTTTCCTGCCAAACATGAGTGCAGCTTACTACCTGTTATACAGGAGACTGCAATATATAGAGTAGCAGAAAGAAATGCAGACAAATTATCACAATTATCACTGAAAATACTTCCAGTTTAACAAGGCAGAAGAAATGTGAAAATACTGAATACCACTCAACTTTTAATTGTTAATAATGTCTTGCAGGACAAATAGAAAGTCCACTAGTGTCAATAAGTGTCTGTTCGAGTGTCTGCTGAATAGAGTAACTTTCAGCTCATTTCCATTAAGCTCTAATTCAGGTGCTAATTGAGCTCTACTCAACAGTAAGTCAAATAAGTAACTTGTTATTGCACATGATACAATTGCTTGATGCCTATATTCAGCAAATTAGGGACCCTAATTTAGTCTGTGGCAGACAAGATAGCACAACTCTATCATAACTCCCAGAGTAATCAACATAGCCCTGGTTTGAATAAGCAAGCCTCTCCAGGACAAGGTCAAGTCATGCAACTAGGAAGGTGTGAAGAAGTCTGCAAAAAATTAAAAAAAAATAATCAAAATCTAGACTTCAATTCCCAGATAGTGTTCTTGGCTACTACTCACACAAAGAAAATACAAAACAAAATAACAAGAACACCCTGTTCAGCAGAAAGGAATAAAAGCAATGCATAATTATATATCATACAATTTATCGCTAAAAGTAGAAAGAGTCCCGAAAAAATATTTCTATAAATTACCAGATTAAAAGAAATAATTATACTTCATGCCAACTAATGTTGAAAAGTCATTGAAAAAGAGAAGTTACTTCCTGTTTTGTCCTCTTTTTTGCTTTACCACCATTTTCCATTTTCCCCTTAGCTCCACAGTCCTGAAATTTACATTGTCGTTTCTTTAAACTTACACAATTTTTACTAAGTGCAGCTTAAATTAAAGCACATTCCTAAAAGCTTTCCTGAATAGGAATGGATTAAACTGCACAGAAGCACTTTGCAGAATTACAATGACTTCAAGCTAAATGCAAACCTGCTTGCCTAGCTAGCCCCTCTGACCTAATATCCTTTGTGGGTGAACATTGACATGCAAGACTTTTTTTTTAAAATACTTACATATAGAACAGGAATGATCAGGAGCAAATCATTCTAATTTATTGTACTATAATAAGGAACTGTGGAACATATTTTTCTGCGGTCTCAGGATGGGTAAGCTCCAATCCTCATGGCATTTCTGTGTATAAAGCAAGGCTTTGTGGAGTTTGTGCTACCTAATGTTTATATTCACCTTTCTAGGTGACTCTGTGCTGGCTGCTGTAACTAATCACAGAGGGGCAATTTTGGCTCAGGAAATGGTACGATGAAGTCTGTTGGATGATGAGAGGAATTGCTGGATTCCTTGAGCAACCTCTGGCAAGTTCATGAAAATCCCTGCAGAAAATGAGACCACGTTTTCCTCTCAACACTAGTGAAAAACACAGAGCAGACAATTACCATCTTCCCCAGAAATAGGCAGGCTGCTGCAGGGAGTTGGAATAAGTTTGGCGTGGTCTTCTGGTCTATTCATCACTGACATTCTTAATAAGGATCAAATGTTTTCCTCTACAATCTTTTACTCAGATAAGATTTAGGAAAAAATATGGGGTAGAGGAGAACAAGGAAGGAGAGGAAATTAATGAGGGAAGTACAGAAGGAGTCTTTTGTCTGTAATCACGGATACTAGAAGAGATACAGCTCTTTTTGTTTCCATTTTAAAGATACAGCCTTAGGCATGTTGTACTAAAATTAGGTTATTTTTGGTTCAGTGAACTATGATTCACTGCAAATTTTTGCAGATGACAGACAGAAACAATTGCTGCTTTAAAACCACACTTTTTTTTAAAATGGATGTAATTTATTTTATTGCTTTAGGGTAGCTCTCCATTTTAGAATCATTTAAAAGAAAACACTAATACCAAAACTGTCGATTCATGCAATTTTCATGAGAATTTGGATTCTTTTGAAAGGATTCAATGACATAAAGTACAACATGACGTAAAACCCATAAATTCTTCTTTGATGTTGACTAAAGCTTTTATAAATAATTTAAGACATTTCAGTGTTGTTTATGTTTTTCCACCAAATAAACAGTGCAATTCCAAATGGACTGAAGAGTGGAAACTACGGATTTATCTATTTTCAGAAAGCCATTGTTCTTTTTAATTAACTGTCAGATACCCTCTGATGAGTTGCAAAGACTAGCTTTGAGCTAATTTTACATGTGGTATTCATGTAGAGTATATATAAACACACAGTTACATAAAGCTTCTGCAGGTGTAAGCTGTAATTCAGCAACGTGTTCAAAGAACAGATCTGTTGTAAACACTTGAGCATCTTCAGTTAGCACTAACAGGCTGAAATACTTTGCAAAGTCAAAGTGCAGGCAGTTGGGTCCCTTTGCAAAATAACACTGAAATACATGGCCAAGTCTACCCTCAAACCAAAAGTAATTATGATCACATTTTTTCCTTAACTGGTGTCCAAAAGTGAATAGCAGAGTCAAAGATGAGCAGACAATATAGGTCTTACTGAAGAGTTTTAAATGATGTAGAAAAAGATTGACTTACTTGAGGGTGGTGAGCTCTGTAAGGGATGGCTGGGTGGCCTTGAGATAGCTCTCTCTCCGTGCAGCAATCTTTGGAGATGGCTTCGGACTTGTGTCTGAGTCTCCACTGTCATCATCCCCCATGGCTTTGATGTAACTGCCACTACGCATCCGCCGGCAGGGAATCTCATCATCTTTGCCTCGTGGAGTGTATCCAGACCATTCATCTTGAGGAACCTGCAGTTACAAACCCAATACTTTTATTAATATACTTCTCTGCGATGCGGTTTCACAGCACAATTTGATCATGCTAAGATGCCATGGAAACATTACAAAAATTCACATGGGCAGTGGCCCATCTTCAGTCCCACTTAAATGAGGAATGCCATTTGCAGTGGAGGATCCCTATTTTTCTTCGGCAACTACCATTTTCATTCAAAGGATTTACAAACTAGATCAGGGTATTCTTGACGAGGCACAAAAAGATGAAATATGAATTTAAATTGCAGTCTTTTCAGATGTGAATCCAAACATGCCACACTGATTTTTGGTTCAAGACGCACTTAAAGTCACTATGTCTCAAGAATCACAAAATCAGGTTTGCAAATCTGAAGTTATAATACTATCACTTGTATAGCATAATTAGATTAACTAGACCCTCATCAGTGCGTACAGATCCTCTTTTTGAATTACTTTAGCCTGAATATCTGAGTCATAGAACTCTCTATTCTTTTCTTTACTTATATTCAATATTCCTCTTAATCTGAAGTTTGTATTGCCCATTCTTTGCTGTGGAAATCTGAAACACTGGGAATGTGTGTTCACGAGATTTAGGTACACAGCAGGGGACAACCCAAGAGCGCAGTTCTCTTGCCCACCTATCCTCTCCCTTCCATTGCTTTTGGGGCTTCTGACCATCACAGACCAACACCTTTCCCTTTTCTGCAACAGCAGAAAGAACGTACTTTAGAGCAAGGCTCCTGAAAATTTGTCCTGAAGTTATTTCACAGAACCCTTTTAAAAAGAAAAGGTGAAACTGAAAAAGCACTTCTTAGGTAAATATATTTTACGTTTGATTTATATAATATTGGTTATGACTTTACATTTGTTTGCCACTTTGCTGATAATCCATATTAAACAACCTCAAATCTGGGTTTTTAAAATTTGTCCTACAGTTTATAAATACCACCACTTACCAAGATAATCACTAAATGTTTCCTTTCTATGAGCAGCAACATTTAACTCCTAGTGAATATCTTGTGTATCCATTGCTTCATAAACTTCAGCCATAGCATTTACACACCAGCATGTTTATAACTGGAATACTGAACTGTTTGCTAACAGCTTGGTTGTTGATACCCAATGCAAACATAAATCCAGAGGCTGTAATTACTTTCACATTTTACTGGCAATGTAGGTCATATTTTATGGCATCAAATTCAAACTGTTCTCACACAAACTATAATCCAAAAAAACTCTGTAAACAACAACAACAAAAAAAGGATGGCTCTAAGTATTCATGGGCTTATTAATGATTATAATTGACCAAATAAGCTACACCATTGCTTTGTTCCCGTCTGATGACAAGCTCAAGACCTCACCAAAATTCTTCCTTTGTTGGCTGTTTTCTGCTGCTGATATCAGGTTTTACAGCTTTCCAGAACCTCCAGAATTCTTTCCTCGGGCTCAGCCCAAGCCCTCTTCTTTTCTCCCACATCTCTCTTGGTCACGGCTGGCCCTGCTAAACTCACTTGAATATCTAACTTTTTCCCTTGATTCCTCAAGATTTAATCCTGAAAGTGTAATCTAGTTTATATGTTTATCAACATATCTTTATCAACAATGATTCTGTGTTCTGTTTCAGGACTCAGACTTCTCAACTACTCCTATTTTTATTTAACCAGATATTTTCCTTGTACTTTTTTTAAACCAAAATGCCTCTTTTTTTTTCCCCTCAAATACCATTTAGTTAATTATTCTGGAAACACTACTTCTGTGAAGCATTTACATTCTTACGTTCCAGCAACATGCAGTTTGTTACTATTTTTTCCCTTTTTGTTCCTTCTATAGATTTCTTTCCTCTCTTCTCTCCCATATCCTCCCCTTCCCCCCCTCTCCCTCCCCAAATATATTTCCACGGTCTTCCATGGTCTTCAAGAATATATGTTCTGTAAGGCAAGAATATATGTTCAGTCAAGTTCATTTCTTACTGAGCAAATGTATACAGAGTTCTGTATTTATAGGAAATAATTGAATAAATACACTTCAGAACATCTAAAATATCCTTCTAGTTAAGAGAAGACTGAAAACTCTAAAGTCTACAGACTGAGAGCACAAAGTGTTTTCAGAACACATTGGAGGACTGAATATACAGCCTTGATAAATTTCCTTTTTAGGTAAAAAGACATATGCAGTATTTTACCTCTAGGACTTCTGAGTTTACGTCTAGGCCTCAGATCAGGAAAGCTGATGATACCCTTGTTTGATGTGCTCATCTTTGCAATGTGCAAATGAATATAGTACTTGGTAGTGGTTTTGATTATTGACATACAAGAGCGTGGAACATTTTGCACTCCTCCTCTAGCACTGATTCTTGCATTAGTTCTAGGCCTCAGCATGAGTATACAAAGAACTTCAATCTTTATTTGTAACAGCCCCCATGTACACTTAGGAGCCTACAGCTCCTGCTTGTCAGCCTTGGCTTTTCAAGTCACTCATACAAGAAATGAGTTAAGAAAGAAAAACCAAGCTTCGCTGACATTTTGATGAAATGATTGGCCTTCACTCAGGATTTGAAATCCAGTCACTTTTCAGGAAGGTATTTCATGGCCAAGTAAGAGCATAATGGAGAATCCATGACTGCTCAGAGGACACGTACTTCTATCTGTTTAATGTTTTATTCATTATGCTTTAGTTAAAGATTTGTGATATTTCTCATTAAAAGAAATTTTGAATCAGTGTCTTTAGCTGGCAAATAAAACGTGTTAGTATGACAGCAGGATTGGTGTCCTTAACTGAGCAAAAGCCAGAGGAAGTAAAGTTATAGTGCTCATACAGCGCCCGTAATTCAGGCAAGGTGAACACTTGTAGCTGTATTACATTATAGACAACCAAATAAATTTAGTGCTGTAGTTTATAGCTGCAGTACTGAGGAGATATAGCTTCTGTGGGCACGATAACTCTGAAATTCCTAAATTCTGTTATCAATAATCCCATAGAAAAGTACATTACTTTTAATCCCAAAGCTTCTCAAAAGGATTTAGATACAACAGGCCATGTTTTGAAAGCTGTTTGCAATGAATTTGCCACAAAAATTTACACATGCACACACTGCAGATAGATAGAAGTGCCCTGGGATGAGCTTTAAAGCCCCTAGCTGCACAAATTGTATGAGATGATCAGGAGGAAGTCTCCAGTTCAAGCTCTGCTTGCTCAGGGAAGTAGGGCAGCTTATAAATAACAGCACACTATCATTTCAGTAGCTCTTTTGCCTTTTAAAGGTGCAGCAAAGCACAGTAATGGAAACTTGATTCCAAATGTGGAGGGAATGAGGGGGCCTGCTATGTCAGTTAAACAGTTCACCCAGTGTTATTGCAGATATGAGGATATTTAAGGTTCAGCATTTCTTGTTTATTTTCTTTTTCCCCTGATAAGGTTTCACTATTTAAAGAAATAATAGGGAAAGAAATGTGGACCCAATTCCTCTTTTATTTCAGTTTCACAAGAGCTGGAAACCCTGATTTCAGAAGATGGATTAGGAGGAAACAGTGAGCCATCGTGTAACTGTATGAGAGCACTTGCAAGGTAAAGAAATGCAAGTTTTACAAGTAGTTGATCTTTGCCTCGACTGTGCTTTGTATGAAAGGATATTAAAGCACTATCTGCGTAGTTCTTGCGTAGCACAAACAATCCTTAAAGCTCAGCATTTCTTAATATAGTTATTTCTCTGTTTAGAAAATAGAGACATAAAATAACGCAAATGTTTTTATATTTGTGTCTACGTACAAATACCTTGAGCAATACTTGATGACAGAACTGACCTGATTTTCAGAGCTGCTTTCATTGGTGGCAATATGAATGGCTGTAGCAGCTTACAGTAGGCAATGTAATTTACTGTCAACAGTAAAGCATTTGCATTATGGGAAAGAAGAAAAACATAAAACCCTCTTTAAAATACTAATTAAGAAAAATAATTGATCATACTATTTCTTGCATTCAGTTTCAGTATGTAGGTACTAAACATAGCACGTTTCCTTCTGCTGAGCTAGAAAAACACTGGGGGAATTACTCATGTCAACCTCCTTTTCATTTTTTTCACTCAGGAGGTTTGCTGAGATTTTCCCACAGGCTCTTACTTCATTTGAATGGCCACAATTCTATCTTGCAAGGTCACATACTATGCTGCATGCAAGTGCATATGCATGGTAACAGCTGCCTCAGAAGATTAATGGCATTAAGATTGACACACCTGAGATAAAGCTGTTTCATGCTTTTAAGAAAATTGTGTTATCCAATTACCTTGGCAATCTCATTTTTTCAGTAGCAGAATATCAAACAGAACTCACTTGTATGATTGTTTCTACTCTTATGAAAAAGGGGAAAGAACTAAACTCAGATCTAACAATGAACATCATTGTTTTTTATTAAAATAGAACTATTATTATTCACACTATTGAAGTAAAAAAGATCTTGGAAACATTTCATTCTGGTCTTTAAGATCATATACAGTTCTTTACAAATCTAAAAATCAAGAGTGTGCTTTAATTATACAAAACAGCCCAGTGAAACAGAAAACACGTATTACTTGAAATACACACAAAATATACAGCAATAGCCACTGAGCCAGACAACCTACTGAAAATTATGACTTCAGTTCTTTAATAGGCACTTTGAAATAAAATGGTTGTTACAAATATGAAGACTGAGTTGGACTATATATTCTTTTAATTGAATGACATACAAGTTTTGTAAACAGAAGAGTATGCAGATAACATGCTGCCATCAGCAAATCTCATGAATCCAGCAAACCTGGATTCAGCCTCATTCAGTGTACTGGTTATCTGTCCTGCTGTTTAACTGAATTTATGGTCCTCTGGAAGTGGTCATACTTCGTCATTAGCCAGACTAGAGTGAAAAATCAACTCTGTCCCAGTTGAAATCACTGACCAATTTCTTTAAGCTTTTTATTTTATTTTATTTTATTTTTTTTTCCCTAATAGCTAATCTAAGTCCCTGAA